CGGAGTTCCAGAATCTGAGGCAACAACTTGGAACTGGAAAGTTTTCAGTGTTTCAAAATCAAAACTTTTCAGCGCAGTGATTTGTCCATTATCTGAATTCACATTTAGGAATGCTGTGACGTCATTTTCACCACCTCCTCTCAGAAGATGATATGAAATAGCTGCGTTTTCATTTGCATCGTTGTCCGACGCGCTTACAGAAAATATTGGCGCACCTGCGAAGTTATTTTCTGACAGATAACACTGTAATGGGTTTTGCAGGAATTGTGGACTGTTGTCATTTACATCTGCTATCTGAATGCTAAGAATTTTAAAACTGGATAAAGGAGGCTCACCACAGTCTGTAGCTTCTATTGTAATATCATAATGTGACACCACCTCTCGGTCCAGAAACCCGCTAGTAACAACTGAGTAAGTATTTTCTTTATAGGATGGTTTTAAGTCAAAAGGAATGCCCTGAGTTATCCGTGAAATAATTTTCCCATTAACTCCAGAGTCTTTATCCGTTACACTGACAAGTGAAATAACTTTACCAGGCTTTGAATCTTCGGTTACTGTATTTGACAGTGACGTGACTTCTATTTCCGGTCGATTGTCATTGACGTCCTTAATTTTCACAATCACTCTACACCTGCTTGTTAACGGAGGCGTTCCTTTGTCTGACGCCTGCACATCTAGTTTATAAACCTCGGAATCTTCAAAATCCAACCCTCCTTTCAGTGTAATTTCTCCGCTTACAGTATCCAGTTCAAATATGTCATAAATTTTACGCGCTAATGTTTTACTAAGGCTATACTCTAATTCCCCATTTGTCCCTTCATCCGGATCTGTTGCATTTACGTTTGCAACAGTCGTCCCAACCGAAACGTTTTCAAATATTTCTATTTGATAAGTATCCTGTTTAAACGTCGGGCGATTATCATTAGTATCAAGAACAGTGATGGAAACATTAAGCGTTCCTGATCGCGGAGGTTTACCTCCATCAACCGCGGTTACAAAGAGGAAATGTTTATGTTTTTTTTCTCTGTCTAGGGAATTCTTCAGAATTAGAAATGGTATTTTTTCCTCATCACTTTGACTAATCTCTATATCAAAGTGATCATTTGAAGATAATGAATATGTGCGGATAGAATTTATGCCAGCATCAGGATCACGGGCCGCATGCAGTTCCAATCGTGTTCCTGGGGATGATTGTTCTGCTACTTCAAAGGTTTGTTGTTTTTCAGAAAAACTCGGGGAATGGTCATTTACATCAGTAATTTCTACAGCTACATAGTGGATTTCCAGTGGGTTCTCTACAAGCATTTTTAGCTCTATCATGCAAGCACCACTTCCATGGCACAGTTCCTCTCTGTCGATTTTCTTACGAACCAGTAACACACCATTGTCCGGATTCACCTCGAAAAACGCATCCTTAGAGCCCGATACAACACGTAACAGACGATCAGCCAAAGAGGTTTTGTCAAGACCAAGATCCTTAGCAACATTTCCAACAATAGTCCCTTCTTTCATCTCCTCTGGAATCGAGTATCTCAGTTCAGCGAAAGCCTGCTCTCCGAAAATCAGCAGCAAAGACAAATGAAAAGCAAAGCAACAGCGGTTGCCTGTTCTGCTTCGTGTTCTCTCAGCCATCCTTCTCAAACAACACATTTACACATAAAACATATTTCTCCAGGAAGCTCAATTTATATATCCTTGGCTTTTCGTAAAGTATGTAGAGAAAACATATGGCACCGTCTCATCCGACTCACATCAGCTTTGCTGTGAGGTATCAAACAAAAGCCTTCTTAGGGGAGGACCTAATTCCTTTATGGAATGCTCGGTGTAACAGTGACGCCAAGAGGACAACATTTTAGACGATTTATACTCTGAAAGGTTTTCCTATACATTAGTAACAACAGCCACATCAACATAAGTCAGCAGATAAACTCAAGTTGCAGCAAACACACTATAATATGCTAAGGAAAGGGCTGCGCCATCTTTACAGTCAGAGACTTTTTATTAGTCTCATGTGTCATTGAGAAAATAAACGGTGTATATTAGTGAACTCCGCCACAGTAACAATTTAACACGTCACGTCGGAAGGACGTACATGCAGACAAAACACTGCGCAATGTTTGCTTCTTCTTCTTTTCTTCTGCTTCTTCTTCTCTTTATTATTATTGTTGTTGTTTTTGTTTCTGTTAGTAACAGTAGTAGTGGGTGTTGTTGTATATATTTCTCCGATATTTCTACTAAAAGAAATCTTAAAACAAACAAACTCATAGGCTTTCTTTATATTGATAATGAAAGAAAACGTTATAGTATTGGTAATTATTTTGAATTCGTACACATTTTTGTATTGATATGGATACAACAAGCAACTAACCCATTAATTCATTCATCATGAGTTATCAAAAGGTTTAATCTTGCAGACCAAATAACAGCTGACACATCTGTGCTGGATGTCTTACCTCCTCAGATGTTCTCCTCCTATCTGGCATCACCAATGTATTTGCATGGCTTCCAGGGACTATAGTAGATCCTATACTCATTCTGGGCCCAACGAGCATGTACCGCTTCTCTCCTGATCTGTACTGGATGCTGTGACAGAGTGTCCCGTCATAATTAGTCTCTGGAAGATATTTAGACGTATAGTCTGTGGATTTGGAGCACTGCATTGCAATCAGCACGATGATGCTGATGAGAAAAAGCACAGAAACTGCGCCCAGAGTTACCATGAGGTAAAATATGACATTACTGTCCTCATCATCGTTTGCTGCACTTTTAACATCAGAAGCTGCAAAAGCCTCTTTGGGCTCCACAAGTTTGACAATCACAGTAGCTGTTGCTGAGAGAGAAACGTTGCCGTTGTCTTTGACCAGTATTATCAGTTTGTGCTCAGCCTCGTCTGTCTCTGTGAATGAGCGAAGTGTTCTGATCTGTCCTGTATAGCGGTCCAAAGCAAAGAGACTGTGGTCAGTCACTTCCTGCAGTGAAAAGAGCAACCAGCCGTTATATCCTATATCAGCGTCATAGGCTCTGACTTTAGTCACCAAGTGTCCTGCGTTGACGTTTCGGGGAATCTCCTCCACACCTTGAGCAGAACCGTTGGAGCTGAGTGGATACAGGATGACTGGAGCGTTGTCGTTCTGATCCAGGATGAAGACGTTGACTGTGACGTTGTTGCTTAGTGGCGGAGTTCCAGAATCTGAGGCAACAACTTGGAACTGGAAGGTTTTCAGCGATTCAAAATCAAAACTTTTTAGCGCAGTGATTTGTCCATTATCTGAATTCACATTTAGAAAAGATATTACATAATTTTCACCACCTTCTCTCAGAAGATGATATGAAATAGCTGCGTTTTCATTTGCATCGAGGTCTACCGCACTCACAGAAAATATTGGCGCACCTGCGAAGTTATTTTCTGTCAGGTAACACTGTAATGGGTTTTGGGTGAATTGTGGACTGTTGTCATTTACATCTGCTATCTGAATGCTAAGAGTTTTAAAACTCGATAAAGGAGGCTCACCACAGTCTGTAGCTGTTATTATTACTTCGTATTCTGGTACAGTTTCTCGATCTAACACTCCCTTCGTGACCACGGAATATATGTTTTCCTTGTAAGAAGGTTTTAATTCGAAAGGTGCATTGTCGGTCATGTGTGTAATTATTTTTCCATTAAGTCCAGAGTCTTTATCCGTTACACTGATAAGTGAAATAACTGTACCAGGTTTTGAATCTTCGGTTACTGTATTTGATAGTGACGTGACTTCTATTTCTGGTGCATTATCATTAATGTCTTGTATCTTTATTATTACTCTACACCTTCCAATTAATGGAGGTTGTCCTTTATCAGATGCTTCAACGTCTAGTTTATAAATCTCAGAATCCTCAAAATCTAATGCTACTTTTAGCGTAATTTGTCCACTTACACTATCCAGTTCAAATATCTGATAAACTTTACGCGCTAATGTTTTGCTCAGGCTGTATTCTATTTCCCCGTTAGTGCCTTCATCTGGGTCTATAGCAGCTACAGTTGCAACAACAGCACCAACAGAGACATTTTCTTTTATTTCAATTTGGTAAGTCTCCCGACTGAATGTCGGGCGATTATCATTACTGTCAAGAACAATAACGGATACATTAAGCGTGCCAGATTTTGGAGGTTTACCTCCATCAACTGCTGTTACAGTTAGCAAGTGTTTATTCTTTTGTTCTCTGTCTAAAGATGTCTTCAGCACTAGAAATGGTATTTTGTCCTCATCACTTTGACTAATCTCAATATCGAAATGCTCGTTTGACGTTAGTGTGTATATGCGGATAGAGTTTATTCCAGCATCAGGATCACGAGCCGGGTGAAGCTGGAATCGTGTTCCCGGAGATGTATGCTCGGCCATTTCAAAGGTCTGCTCCTTTTCAGAAAAGCTGGGGGAGTGATCATTTACATCAGCAATTTCTACAGCAATATGATGCATTTCCAGGGGATTTTCAACAAGGATTTTTAGCTCAATGAGGCATGAACCGCTACCGTGACAAAGCTTTTCTCTGTCGATTTTCTTACGAACCTGTAAAGCCCCATTGTCCGGGTTTACCTCGAAAAACGCGTCCTTAAATCCAGAAACAACACGGAACCGACGATCAGTCAAAGAGGTTTTGTCAATACCAAGATCCTTGGCCACATTTCCAACAGTAGTTCCTTCTTTGACCTCCTCCGGAACAGAGTATCTCAAATCAGCCAAAGCCCGCTTTCCGAAAACCAGCAGCAGTGTCAAATAAAAAGCAACCCAGAAGCACTCACAGCATCGATACGGTCTTCCATTCCTCATTGTTGTCCAGTTGCACACGATGACACCTGAATCTGTTTCTATAATAATTATATTTGCGATTACTTCACGGTCTCATCCGACTCCCGTTTTTAGATATTATGCATTCGTTGCTGTGAACCACCAGACAAAAAGGTTTGTTAGGGGAGGGACTGTGTTTTTCTGGTCATTTATGTTATAGTGACACCAAGAGGACAACTCTGTATGTTTATTTCTGATGATTTTAAGTAAGGACCAGTACAGGTATGTATTTTATGTGCAAAATTTGTCACTAAGGACAATAGCGATAAAAGAGTTCTATCCACTTACTTAAGGATACGTGAGGTATTTCTTTCCCCTGAATTTCACCAGTTGAATTTTGTATTCATTTTTTAATAATACTGAAGAAAGATTTAATTTTTCTGCTTTTACATAACAGTATATTAATCTGACACCCTACTTTGAATGGAACCGGCAACGCGCCACAGTATAGTTCAGCACTACAGACAGCGATAGCTGCTCTCGACATAGCTGCTCTCGTTACCAAAGATACCTGTAATTGTAACACCAACAGAAAGCGGAGGTTGACAAACGTAACCAGAAAATGTAACATAGTAATATCAAAAACTGTTCTCCTATTCACAAGAAACTATTCTGGTTATTGCAGCTTAGCTATAATATTGGTAATAGTATTGGTAATTAAAACCGTCTCAAAGGTAAGTACAGTGAAAAATGAAAATGTAATCATGTTTTAAAGCACTTCATTTTCAAAAACACCACAATGCAAAGCGGGACATGTACTACGTCATAAAGATGACTGTTTTGCTGCAGTGTGATTTCAAGGAAACGGTAACACATGCAGCAATTGTATAACCTGAGTGTGACTAGATGAGTAACACTGCTACTGAGAACAAGCTACAAGCTAAGAACTGAATTAAAGTTGACTGGATCTCGGACAACCAATAGAAATTTAGTATTTTAACATTGTTCTAGTCTCTTCCCTCTTTCTCTCGGTTTACCCCATAAAAACTTGCTGATAACTTGCTCCAACAAATAATGGCATTAATCAATCATTGTGTTTCTTTAACATTCCTTCACCTGATAGCCTGATAGTTTTTTGGAACCATGGATAGCGATCACAGGCTCTCCCACATAACTTTAATTCCAAAAAGTAGCAAATAAACAACTACCAAGAGAGACAGGAAAGGCTCCCAACACATGCTCAAAGAAATAAAAAGAAAGGGAAAAAAAATCAGCACCAAGGGCAGCGAATAGTTCGCAAAACTACAAAGGATTATTATTGTTACTATTATTATTACTATTATTATTATTATTATTTGTACATGTATGGCTTTCTAGCTTATCCGTGAATGTGATCTAAAAAGAAACAGCAGGAAAACATAGCACATTGAACGGAGTGGCTCGGGAAGCGTACAAACTCCACAGAGCCAGACAAACCCAAACTTTCTTGCTTTGAAGTAATAGCGTGACCCACTGCACCACTATGCTACTTGCTGCCATTATAACTGATATTGTAAAGCAAGCCGAACACGGAAAGGGAAAACGCTTTTACAAAAGGGTGTTAAGGTCTTACCTCTTCAGATGCTCTCCGCCTGTCGGGTAGAGCTAATGTGTTTGCGTGGCTACCCGGGACTATAGTAGATCCTATACTCATTCTGGGTCCAACGAGCATGTACCGCTTCTCTCCTGATCTGTACTGGATGCTGTGACACAGTGTCCCATCATAATTAGTCTCTGGCAGATATTTAGAAGTATAGTCTGTGGATTTGGAGCACTGCATTGCAATCAGTACGATGATGCTGATGAGAAAAAGTACAGAAACTGCGCCCAAAGTTATCATGAGGTAAAATATGACATTACTGTCCTCATCATCTTTTGCTGCACTTTTAACATCTGAAGCTGCAAAAGCCTCTTTGGGCTCCACAAGCTTGACAATCACAGTAGCTGTTGCTGAGAGAGAAACGTTGCCGTTGTCTTTGACCAGTATGAGCAGTTTATGCTCAGCCTCGTCTGTCTCTGTGAATGAGCGAAGTGTTCTGATCTGTCCTGTATAGCGGTCCAAAGCAAAGAGACTGTGGTCAGTCACTTCCTGCAGTGAAAAGAGCAACCAGCCGTTATATCCTATATCAGCATCATAGGCTCTGACTTTAGTCACCAAGTGTCCTGCGTTGACGTTTCGGGGAATCTCCTCCACACCTTGAGCAGAACCGTTGGAGCTGAGTGGATACAGGATGACTGGAGCGTTGTCGTTCTGATCCAGGATGAAGACGTTGACTGTGACATTGTTGCTTAGTGACGGAGTTCCAGAATCTGAGGCAACAACTTGGAACTGGAAAGTTTTCAGCGTTTCAAAATCAAAACTTTTCAGCGCGGTGATTTGTCCATTGTCTGAATTCACACTTAGGAAAGACAATATATCATTTTTACTCCCTTCTCTCACAACGTGATATGAAATGGCTGCATTGTCGTTCAAGTCTTTATCCGTCGCGCTTACTGAAAATATTGGCTTTCCAGCAACGTTGTTTTCTGACAGGTAAACCTGTAGTGGATTCTGCGAGAATTGTGGGATGTTATCGTTTACATCTGATATTTGAATGCTAAGGGTTTTAAAAGTAGATAGTGGAGGCTCACCACAATCCGTGGCTTTCATTGTTATTTCATAATAAGACACTTTTTCTCGATCTAAAAGTCCCTTGGTTACAACTGAATATATATTTTCCTTATACGAAGGCTTTAATTCAAAAGGCACGTCTGAGATTATGCTTGTAATAATATTTCCGTTCACTCCGGAATCTCTATCTGTTACACTGAGTAGAGAAATAACTGTGCCAGGCTTGGAGTCCTCGGATACTGAATTTGATAGTGATGTGATTTCTATTTCTGGTGGATTGTCATTAACATCAGTGATTTTTATGATGACTCTGCACTCACCCGTCAGTGGGGGTGTTCCTTTATCGGACGCCTCAATATCAAGTTTGTAAACGTCATTTTCTTCATAGTCAATCAATCCCTCTACTATAATTTCCCCACTTAACTTGTCCAGTTCAAATATATCATACACTTTCTTCTTTAGAGTTTTTCCAAGGCTATATTCAACTGCTCCATTTAAGTTTTCATCTGGATCTGTCGCATTAATTCTAAATATTTTGGTGCCAACCAAAACGTTTTCTGGGACTGAAATTTCATAAATATCCTTACTAAACATTGGGCGATTGTCATTACTGTCTAGAACAATAACGGTAACATTTAGGGTTCCGGATCTTGGAGGTTTAGCCCCATCAACTGCTGTAACCACAAGCGAATGGTTGCATTTTTGCTCTCTGTCCAGCGACTTTTTTAGGACTAAAAATGGTATTTTGTCCTCGTCACTTTGGCGGACATCTAATTCAAAATGATCGTTTGGTGTTAAGGTGTAGGTATGAATGGAATTAAGTCCTGCATCAGGATCACGAGCGGTGTGTAGCTGGAACCGCCTTCCCGGCAGTGTATGTTCGGCTATTTCAAATCTCTGATTTCTTTCGGAGAAATTAGGAGAATGATCATTTACATCAGTAATTTCCACAACTACATAATGCATTTCCAGTGGGTTTTCAACAAGAATTTTAAGCTCCAGTAAGCATGCGCCACTTCCTTGACAGAGAACCTCTCTGTCGATTTTCTTGCGAACATAGAGAGCCCCATTGTCCTGGTTTACCTCAAAAAAGGCATCCGTATTTCCAGACACAACACGAAAACGTCGATCAGCCAAAGAGTTGATGTCAAGGCCCAGATCTTTCGCAATATTTCCAACTACAGTTCCATCTGCAACCTCCTCTGGAACAGTATATCGTATCTGAGAAAAAGCCTCCTTCCCAAAAAGCAGCAATACGGCCACATGAAAAACAAACCAGTAACCCTTCATCGTTCGTGATCCTGTAGTGATCTTCATAGCTATTTAACAGTACCTACATACACAGAAGCTCCCTGAGTCGACAAACAGCAGGTTATCGCATATTTCTAAAATATAAACCGTCCATCAGCTGGTGGGTTTGGTTTTAATACGCGATTTCCCCTCCTCAATCTGAAACAAAAGCCTTGAAAGAGGAGGGACGGAGTCATTTTTTTTCTTCCGATGTAAGAGTGACACCCAGAGGAGATGTGTTACAAAACGTGATTCATATGATACATATATTTTGTCTTCTCTATATGCTTTCTTTCCGCCTTACAAATTAAAGCGACTGTACTATTTTTTTTCCTGCCATAGAACTTAATGCAATCGAAGAAGCATTAGGAAACATGGATCTGATAGTACTCAGATTAATTATATAGGCATGAATTTCATTTTGACATACTTTGATCGCAATGGGCATCACACAGCGAATGTAGATGTGTGTTAAAACAACAAAGCTGATGTATACTGCCCATAAATTGACTAATTCTAGATTTAAAGCTGGGAACGTGTAAGACCCACGCGTCACAACTATACATTTCTTAACTTTTTTTCAACTTTGTAAGGGAAACTTCTCAAAAGCTGAGACCAAAATAATTAAAAGGAAACGTGTATTTGTATTTGTATAGATGTTAAAATACCCCAGTAAGTACTGTTTCAGGGCGTCTGTTTGTGAAATAGAAATTAAACGAATTAAAAAA